ACACAACCCCCCCCCCCGTCCCATATCTTGGGGGCCTCCAAGGTGCGACTAGATCTGGATCTAGTTGTTCCTCCACAGACCAAGATGGCTACCCTCTGAAATTTAAAAGGCGGGGAACGGGGGAGGTCGACAAGTGACTGAACTGGCCCCTCCCGCCGAGCTGTGCTTCATCTTTTGAAATGGATGTGGGAGGAAAATGGCTTCCCTCGATCTCAGAGGTCATTTCAGGGGGGATCGCAATTCCCCCGGATGAGGGGCGGGGCACATAACTAAGCCCCGCCCCTTGCTTCCGGCCGCCCCGCTTCCGGCCCTCATTCAGCCAGGAGGAGGCAGGAGAAGAGGTAGGTAAGTTGCTTCCTCCCCGCCTCTCCCCACCCCTGCCTGCCTGGGGCCAGGGAGGGCCTTGGCGGGGCTTCCTCGCACTCCCGTTGGCCTTGCAGGTCCACCGCTGGGCCCCTGATGTCAGGGTGTGTGGCATATGCTAATGAGTTATGCTAATGAGTTCCCCTAGCTCTTTTTCTACGAAACGACCCCTGGTCGATCTCATCTGATGGTTCCCTGAGGTGTTTCTGTGGAACCTAGCGGTAAATACTGGCAAGAATGCTTGAAACAACAGCTTCTGAAATGTACATTTCCCTGTCATTCCTGACCTTGGCTTCGGACGACCACTCTCTCGGTCTTGCAATTCGGCTCTTGTTCTGAATTTCCTGGCTATGACTTCAGACCAGACCTGACCCCTGCCTCTCAGCCCAGCCCGTGACGGGGGCTCCTGGCTCCGAGCTCGGATCTTCTGGCGCACGTGCAAAACCCACGCGCTGCATGATGACGTCACCTGGAAGTAATGTTGTCATATGGGGCATGTCCCACGAGGACACTCTAGCATCATCACACAACATGCCCAGCATGATGATGTCGCTTTTGGGTGAGGTCATCGCACCGATGCCAACTCAGCGGGAGGGGGCTGTTCAGGGGATGGGGTTTCCCTCACCAGCAGCGGATTGGAGCCCACGAAATCGAGGGAAAACCCGCCTCAATCGGGGGTTTGGCAACCCTATATCCCATGTGGCTTTTGCCCATGAAGGTTTCATGGTCCCCCACATGGCCTTTTTCAATGGTCAGAGAAGACCCCTTCCCCAGAAAAGCTGGTTGCAACTGTTCGTTATCTGTTGGACAAAGGCCTGGCATAGGGGGATGAGGTGGGTTATTTAACGAGAACAAAATTTTAGTGAATTAGAACGGGATGTCATTTCCTCTAGTCCGCTAAAAACCCTGCCATGAATAATACATGGCTTCTTTTAATTCCTGCTTCAGAAACACTTGTCCCTCTAGAGGAATGAAATGTATAAATTTAATTACCCACATTTCGGTCATTTGTTTTCTGCTTCGGAGATGTCGTCATGGCCACATTGGAAGCTCAGCTGGGCTTATTCTTAATGGTCGCCATAATACGTGGTGATAATATTGGGGGGGGGATTTGATTTTCTTTTGAGAAGATCATTTCTTAGAGTACTATAAAAGAAAATGTTAAGCTGCAAGCTCCTCAGCCCTCCACAAAAGTAGGTGACGGATTCAAGCGGCAGCTGATTTCTTCTGTGTTCCGGTCACAGAAACTGCAAAAGGAAGCACTTTCTGTCAAACCTTTTTTTTATATATCCAGCTGTTTCTTCAACATTGCCTCTGGCCGACGCTTCAAAATTGTTGAACCTGAGGTAGAATTCTCGCTCAAGAAAAAAGGAGGCCTTCCCAGATTATATATGGTCACTGCTGACAGTCTATCTTAATTTTAATTTTCTAAATATTTATATTGTTTTCTGTTAACCCAGGGGTCTCCAACTTGGTCCCTGTGGATGTCATGGGCAGCCACTGGCACCCCGCCTGGCAACCGCCAAGCGTTTCCAGACAGTGGGCAGAACCAGGCGGGTCTGTTGCCCAGCAGGTCTTCTGATTGGCCACTGGAGATTTGATTGGCAGTGCAGATTTTTCTTAAAATGTTGCTTCTGCAGCAGCTGCCACCACAGCCCAATATTTTGAACACACTTTAAAAGAGATGCTGTTCAATGGAGCCTCGGTCTGAAACGCTGAAAAGTTACTATCGGAGTTATGCATAACTTTGCTTGCTGATATTTTGTGGTTGTATAAAGAAAAAGACACTCTGTGAATGAATTACAAACATAAGCAGAAAAATTATATTGTATGCTTATGTTTGTAATTCATTGATGGAGTGTCTTTATATCTGTCACATCCTGAACATTCCCTGTTTGAATTGCTGCCTTCGGGCAGAAAATATAGGACAATTAAAACAAGGACAAACAGATTAAAAATAGTTTTTATTCTAGAGCTATTATTGCCTTAAATGCTGTATGAAATTGGAATCTGGGTGACATTGGTGGTTTTAAGTTGCTTTGTGAACCTTAAGGGAGTTATGAGACAGTTGTGAATGGTGTGTGAGTGTATATGATTATTGTTGCAGATCACCGAAATGATTGCATCTTTAATTTTGTTGTACTATGTACAATGACAATAAAGTATATTCTATTCTATTCTATTCTATTCTATTCATCTAATAGCCAAGTTGCCCCCAGAGTGCGGATCGCTAAATCAGCGCTCCGGGGGCACTTGGGGGGAGGGGGAGGTTTGTGCACACGTGGGCCAGTCCCCACGTGTGCACAAAAATGCTAAAAGTTGAAAAAAATTTCAGGGGGATGTTTAAAGCCCCCCCGAAAGTGCAAGATCGTTCCGTCCGCATGTGCACGGAACGCTCTGTAGCTGACCTCGCCGCCGCCGCGCCGTTGCCGCCTCTTT